TGCCAGGGTCTCTGACAGCTTTAAAGCCCGTGCCCTGAGCCCCAGGCTTAACTCAGCACAGCAATAACCATCCCATTGCCCAGAGAGCTGAGGCTGGAGGCTCAAGTTCAAATACCAGCACTGATATCATCCACAAAAAAGAGTGGAGTTTAAATCTGGGGCATTGCTCGAGGTAGAAGTTCGGGGGGTTCTGAACATGGATCAGAAATCTCCCTTTTCCACATTAACCTCTGCTGTATCTGCCATTTCTGACGGGGAATAATTCACATATTTCCCAAATCACAAGTCATCTTCTGTTGGCTTAAGGACCTGCAGACACTTGCCTTTAGATGGCACTGCATTAAACAATATCCATAAAACCCAGCTGCAGAAAGGGCTGTTGCTCCCACCAACGCTTATAAACATTTTGAAACTGATCTCTTTGCAACATGGGAGGAGAAAGAGCATTCTGTGCCCACCCGGTTCCCTGAGGCTGAGATTACCCCGTCTGAACCCAAAGCACCACTAATGCCTGTTCACCCCCACCCGTGCTGGAGCCAGGAGCACCATTAACGTGGCACATTTAGCGTAATCTAGCTCTGATACTCAATTAAGAAATTAATCGTGGGGCAAGAGGGCAGCTCTGGGAAAGGTCTCTGCTACCCCCGAGCCCTGGGTGACTCCTGGGAGCACTCAGGCTGTTTGGTTCAGCCCCCACCACACACACACACACACACACTTTCTCCCCACTTACAGAATTTGCCCTTTGGATGTTTCACAATGTCCTGGATCAATAAACAAACCCACGTGGGTCCTGTTAGATATGGTGATACCACCAGCCCTGGGCATCTGCATCCTCCTGGCTCCAGCCCAGGATAAATCACTAATTCTGTATTTCTTATGCCAAATGTGTCACACTGGATGGATCCAGAGACAGCTTTCCCCAACCCTGGATCTGGTCTCATATCACAGCAGCTACATGGGGGCCCTTCTCCCATGAGTCTGAGGATATCCCCACACATGGTGAAGGAGAACAGGGTATGTGACAGCCACAGGAGGGCAAACATCACAGGCAGCCAACTGCAACCCTCACCTAGCCATGGGCCAGGTCCAGGGCAGAGCACCCCTGTGCTTTGGGACACATTGGCAGTGCAGAGCCTTATAAATCTCAGTTGTAGGGCTGGGGGAGGATCCAGCCCTGGTTGGGGAACAGCATGAGTCGGGGAGCGAAATCCCAGGCTCAGCGCTAAGCCTGGCAAAGCCCAGGGTCAGCACTGACTCCACTCTAGTCCCAGTTGGGCCAGCTGCCTTCTCTGCCACCAGCTCCCCACTGCGATGCTGGGTTGGACTTTGTCATTGGTCTTTCAGGTCTGGGACAGGACAGCAGCCCAGGCAAGCCAGGCACAGCCTCCTGGAGGGGATTGGCAGCAGCCACACAAGCATCCTACCCGCTGGCAGTGGCTCAGTGAATCAAGTTCACCCTCCCTGAACAGGGAAAGCCTCCCAAGCCCTGAAGACCTGCCTGCCTCTGGCCGGGGATTCTCCTCTTCAGATCTTGCAATAGCAATGATCAGGTTTGGGGTCACCTCTGGTACCCCAGTACAGCCTCCCACATGGGCTGAAGGTGCTTCCCTCAGCCCTTCCTTGGGCACTGAGGGATACCAGTATGACTTGTTCCAGCAACAAAATCCAGTAATAAAGAAGATGCACTTCATTGTGTTAAGGCTGAATTTGACAAATCATCGTTCCTAGAAGGGACCGATTTATCCCGAAGTTAGGCAAAGCACAGGCAGCAGTGGCACAACCCCCTTCCCACAATCCACCCCTTCCTTGAGCCCATGACCACATATTTGCAGATCCCAGTAGCTCCCAGCTGGGAATTGGCTCTGGATGCTCTGGACATGTGCCACATCCCCCGAGTCCTGCTGCAGGAAGGCCCCAACCAGCAGACAGGGGTTTCCTCTCTCCAAGCGTGAAAGCAGAGTGGATAAAAGTAAGCCCTGGCTGGGAATAACTTGAGGGTGGAACACCCCTCTTCTCCATCTTTGGCGTCGCACCACTTGTCTGTCTTCCCGCAGTGGCTCCGTGCATCATTTTCTAGCCACAAGCAAGACATTGGGGAGAGATGTTTCCTACGTGATGCCTTTATGGAGGCGTGTGTCTGTGGAGCCCCTGTCCTGCTAAAACCACCTCTGCTGCAAGTCCCTGCGGGAAACAGCCCCCCAAGTCCTGGAACCCCTCCTCACTGGATGCCCACCAGCTCCGTTATGGGGGGAGCCTGGACCATCAGCTCTTCGTATCTCTGGAGGAAGAGCCGGAGCCTGGAGGTGTAAGTGTCCTCGTTGTACGGCAGCTTCTTCTGCTTCAGATACTGGGAGACGATGGGTTTGATCTGCAAAGACAAAGGCAGAGTCACCTCAGTGTGGGACACACCAACATTTGTACAAGGTTCCCAGCCTGGGGAATCACTGACCTCCCCATGAGGTACCCAGAAAACCCTTCCCACACACCCAGCATGAGAGCACAGCACCAACTGTAACACCTTTACCATGAAAATTAAGAGGAAGGTGGTTTCTGATTGCAGCAACATAGGGAGTTCCCCTTCGCAAAATGCCTTTGCAGGGTTCTGGATTAGGAGAGATGCCCTAATGAGGCTGTAATGATGGCCAGCCACGCATGCTCATCACTTGCACCCGTAGTTACCCCCACGTGCCCTCACAGCCAGCTCGGCGGCAGGGCTGGGAGGCTGCCATCAGTTTAATCCCCCCTCCCCCGCCACACTCCTGTGCAAGAGACAGGTCCTACCAGCCCTGTGAGCTCGAGAAGAGGGCACAGCCTAAAACCGACTGGTGCTTTTTCTCCCTCTATTACTTGTAATTTTTCCCCCAGCTTGAGACGGAAAATAAATGTAGAGCATTAAACGAGTGGAGATCCTGTGCTGAAAGGCAGCACATGGACCTGACTTGAGACAGTGCAGCACTGGGAGCCTACATTTCAAACACACGCCAGACCTCAGAGCATCAAGTGAGGGCACGACCAAAATCGTAGCAGGTTTGCCTGGATGCCAGCTGAACCAAAAACCAGCCTGCGCAGTGCTGGAGATGCTTTCCCAAGGGAAGAGCTGGGAGGATCCCAGATCACCAGGAAGGTGCTGCAAACTGGACTTGGGACCAGGGGAAGGAGCAGGGAGCAGAAACCCAGGAGAAACAGGAGCAGCAATGGAGGGAGGTGATTTAGGGGCTGTTGCAAAGTAGCAAGAGGTCTCTAGCAAGGAGGGAGTAGCACGGTGGCAGAGAGACGAGGAGGTGGGGAGAAGGATGGTCTCATCCTCATATCACCTCCCAGCAGGCTCACCTGCCCCACAGGGCTGTCTCACCTTCAGGCACATGTTGTCGGAGAGGCTGGGGAAGAGGTGATGCTCCACGTGGCAGCTGATGAGTGAGTGGCCGAAGGACCAGTCGAGCAGGGCATTGCGAGGCAGGTTGAGGACGCCCAAGCTCATGAGGTGGATCCGCTTGGGTTTCCGATCAGCCGCGAACATGGGGAGGCCGATGTGCTGTGGGAGAGTGAAGTGGTGACCCTACAGCACCCACCATCCCTGCCTTGGCCCCGTCCCAGCAGAGCAAACCAGGGCTCTGGCCATGTGAGGGCATGAGGATGCCAGCCAGTCTGAGATACATTTCGGTGTTGGCTGCCAACCCCAGAGCTGGGTTTGTCCCTAAGGTCACTCCATCCTGCACTTGACTGTCTACCAAGGAGCAACTGGGCTCCCATCATCCCAAGACCTGTAGTATCAACTGCACCGACACCTGCTAACACACCAACCCCCCAGTCCTGCAAGCCACTGAAGAGGACATCATCCTCCAGCCCTTTGCACCCATCTGCCCGGATGTTCTCTTAGGGCCACCACTTTCCACCCCAGCATCACCAGCCTGATCCTCCCCATGACGGCATCACCACGAGGGAGGTGACAACTGAGGCCACCCTCCTTAAGCTGACACAAGCCTTAGCCAGCAGTGTCAGGGCAATGTCACCAGAGCTAGGTGGTGGCTAGCCTGTCTCCAGCACCACTGGGACATCTCAGAGCTTCATGTCTCTACCTGGAATATGTTGACGTGGATGTAGGGATGGGCCAGGAGGGAGCGGGTGAGCAGCATGCAGAGCAGGGCAGACCACGGTGACTGGAAGCCTGAGACATGGAGCAGCAACCAATAATGGCAGTAAAGACCCAGAAACATGCAGCAAAGGGTCCGGAGAGCTGTTTTCCACTCCACGTTCCTCAACAAATCTGCACAAGGAAGAAGAGACAGCACGTGGGCAAAGTACTGATGCTTCCCCACCACTGCTGTTCCAGCGGCCAGGCTGCCCAGCAGGCTCATAAACCCAGCCCATTCCTCATCTCCCCTTCCCCATCCTCCAGGTTGGCTCAAACCCCCAGCCCTGCTGACCTGCTGGGTTTTGGGGCTGGCATCTGAAGCCTCCCAGGGCAGTGGGGCAGAAGCTCCAGCTGTGTATCATCACACAAGGATTTGGCTGCATGTTCATCTCACAACTTGCCAAGTCATCGTCTCCATTTTTGGCACTGCCAGAGCTGTGTGTTCAGCCTGACAGGCCGCTATTTTCTCGGTTCTTCTCCCTAACCATTTCCTGGCACCATTATTTGCTCCAAGCCACTGTCTTTTCTGCTTGAGCTCATTGTGTCCCAACCCATGTAGACCCCACACCTTCACCTCACACCCAGTCAGCAAAGTCACTGTGATGCTCTGAGCAGCCAGAGACCTGCAGGAAACCTTGTACCCTGCAAATTTCAGGCTCATGATGGCTTTTCCCAGAGCTTCCAACACTTGACCCAACACAGGAAAATGGGAAGCGTTTCTGAGCACCAGCAGAAAGAAGAGATGCAGCAGACGCCTTCGAAGCAGATGCAGCATCACCTGCCTTCGCTGCAGCTGTGTGTCCTGCTGTGGCTGGTGCAGTTAATGTAACATCCCAGATGAAGCAGAACCCTTTGGTGGGGTGAGACATGGATAGTAACGAATTCGCCATACCCAGCACCCTGTCTCAAGTTGGTGGGACACTTACCAAGAGCAACCAGAGGTGTTATGATGGGCACTGCGAGAGGTGCGATGAACATGTAGACGTAGAATGGAACCTTCCAGTTGCTGGAGTCCCCCAGGCCGATGATGTTGGTGTAGCCATGGTGCATCTTCACATGGTTGTATGTGCCTTGCTCAGCCGTGAAGGCTGAGCAGAGCTGGGAGGGAAGAGAAAGGAGTCTACAGCCAAAATGTCAGGGTCAGGCTCTGCCTGGCTTGGGCTCTCGGGAGAGGCTCCTAGGGGAGATGCTTTGCACCTCACAAACTCCCAACCAGTCTGGAAATGGACTTTAGGAGTTAAGCACTGGAAACTACTCCCACCTTTCCCTGCAGTGCATTTTCCTGCTCTGCAGCCCTGTGGCCAAGGAGACCAACACAAAACCCCACTGGTGGCTGTTTCTGAAGGGCTTGGGGTGCTGGCAAGGTACCGTCAGGGCTTTTAGGGGGGCTGCCACCAGAGCTCCACTCACCTCAATAAAGAAGATGGCCCACACTTTGCCCCAGGACTTGGACTCAGTCAAGGCATTGTGGCTGGCCAGGTGACTGCCCTTCACAGTCAGGGTGTGATGCACCACGCCGAGGGTGAGGACACCCACCAGGAAAGGGATGGCCTGGGCTGACCGCAGGCACAGGAATCCTGTGGAGAAACCAGACGGGCAAGAAGCTCGGCCACACAGACATGCTGTGGCCCTCCTCGCCTTCGAGCTGGGCTGGAGGTGTTGCTACACCCAAGCACACCGGCCACTGCCCCAAACCTGTTTTTCAGATGTAGTTACAGGTATTTAAAATGCCTGAGCACGAAAGCTTCCCTCCTGCACCGCCCTGCATGGCTGGACTGGCCACACTCACCATCCTGCTGAGGGCTTGGCCATGTCCAGCCACGATGGCACCAGACTCTGCCGGTGCCAGGTCCCAACCAGCAGCTTTGGCTGAGATCCCATTGGTGACAAATATGGTTCTGCCAGGATTTCAGTAACCCCAGGAATTTGAAAGCAAGAGAAGGTACCAGCTGCAACATTCTGACCGTGTCTTCCTGCACCCTCCGTGCCTGGGGCCATTGTCACCAGAACTGCCAGGGATTCCCTGCCCCATGGTGGGGCATAGATGGAGTGTGATATTCCTGGTCCTGCCCTGTGCCCATCTCCCCAGGCCCTGTCCCCTCCCCTCAGGCTGCGCTTTGGCTGCCACCATTACTCACTGTGAACTTCCAGAGGGGTGAGAGCGCCCCGTGGTACTGGGCAAAGGGGTTATTGCAGCTTTGTTATGGGCTTAACAGACTGCTAATAGGCTTCCAGCACAAAGTGGTGCCAGCAGTGCAAAAAGCGTGAGGAGAAAGTGGGACCATTCTCCCTCCCCGGGCCACTTTTAGGG